GGGGTCCCCACCCCCGCCCCCCGGGTGCGGCCGGCGCCCCCGTCCCTGCCGCAGACGACGGTGGGTGCAGGGTTGCCGGTGGCACGGCAGGACAGCGCTTCCCGTGTCCCCCGCAGCCATGTGCGGTTGCTGGGGCAGTCGCTCGCTGCCATTTCGGGCTTGTCTGGAAAAGACGGAGGGATGCACCGGGAATGCCGGGAGCAGCCTGTGCCGGCTGCCACGGGCACAACCAGGACCCCCTGGCGCGGCACTCACAGAGCACGGCGAGCCGGGTGTCTGTGTCTTTTGTCACCATGCCGTCAGCGATGGCCAGGCTGGCCCGGCACCCGAATTGCCGCCCGTCATCCTCCCGCCGGGCCACCAACCGCAGCTCTAGCCGGGCCTGCGGCCCCTCGGCCAGGACCCCCCCGTCGGCATCACGGAGCTGCAGCCGGACGGCAGGGGGGTCGGCAACCCCGGCGCGGCACGCCACCGTCACCTCGCTGCCCGCTGGTGCCGATGCCGGGCTCAGCTCCAGGACGGGAGCCGGGAAGCCTGCAGGAAGGTGCCATGAGTCCAAGGGGATTTCGGGATGGGATCCGGCAACCGCCCCACCGCACCCGGTGCCTTACGGTAGACGTGGAGCCACGTCCGTGCTGTCCGTGCTGCCGTCGCCACCGTGGCGGTGCAGGTCAGCTCCTGCTGCCCCGGGGTGCTGGTTGAGAGCACGGTGACGGCGGTGAGCACGTCCCCGGTCGCCGTCACGGTGAAGTTTAGGCTCTGCTCTGCCAGGGTGATGCTGAAGCGGACGTCCCCAGCGGGGAAGGCGCCGGCGATCCGGCAACTGGCATTGGCGGCGGTGCCGGCTTCAAGGCGGGTGGGAGCCCGGAGCTGGGGCGGCTCGGGGAGGGCTGTGGGTACGCGGTGTCACCGGAGATGTGCCTCGTCCCCAGCTGCGCCTCGGTGCCAGGGAGAGGATCCCGGCAGCTGGACCCTCACCGGGCTCCGGTGAGGATGCGGAGCTGCCAGGAGGGCAGCGGTGACGTCCCCGCACCAGGGTGGGAGCGGGGATCCCGGCACGGCCCTGGCTGCCGGACAAGGGTAGGGAGGGAGTCGGCGTGGCGTGGTGCACACCACGAACAGGATTGGAGTCATGGCGCTCAACTGGCCAGTCCCGGGGAGACTGGGATGGGATTGGGATGGAATGGGGACGGGAATGGGGACTGGGATGGCATGGGGACGGGGACGGGGACTGGGATGGAATGGGGACGGGAATGGGGACTGGGATGGAGTTGGGAATGGGGACTGGGATGGGATGGGGACGGGAATGGGGACTGGGATGGGAATGGGGACTGGGATGGAATGGGGACGGGAATGGGGACTGGGATGGAGTTGGGAATGGGGACTGGGATGGGATGGGGACGGGAATGGGGACTGGGATGGAGTTGGGAATGGGGACTGGGATGGGATGGGGACGGGAATGGGGACTGGGCGGGGATGGGGGACTGGGATGGAATGGGGACGGGAATGGGGACTGAGATGGGATGGGGATGGGAATGGGGACTGGGATGGAATGGGGACTGGGATGAGATGGGATGGGAATGGGGACAGGGGTGGGGACAGGGACAGGGGGGTGCCGAGCTGCTCCCTGGCTCCTTCCCCCCGACAGCAGCACCCGCACCAATGCCGGAGCCCGGCCGCGCGGCGGGGACTCACCGAAAACCGACAGCTTGAGGGGGACGGCGGCGCGGGCGAAGAGGGGCCCGTGGGGCCGCAGGGAGAGCTCGGCGTGCTAGGTGACATCCTGCCCGTGGTCCCCGGGGCCGGCGGTCAGCAGGTGACTGACAGCCACGCTGGCGCTGCCCTCGGCGGCACCGAAACTCTCCGTCCGCAGCGTTTCGGCACCTCGGCGCAACGTCACCGTCAGGTTCCCTACCGGAGCCACCTCCACCACCCGGCACGTCAGGTTACGGCTCTCGCCCACCGCCC